TCATCATCATCATCATCATCATCATCATCATCATCATCATCATCATCATCATCATCATCATCATCATCATCATCAGCATCATCATCATCATCATCATCATCATCATCATCATCATCATCATCATCATCATCATCATCATCATCATCATCATCATCATCATCATCATCATCATCAGCATCAGCATCATCATCATCATCATCATCATCATCATCAGCACGGTTCTTCGGGGCCTGGGGACATGAGACGTCACGGGCGCAGGCCTCCTGCGCTCCCCCCAGCAATCGCCACCCATACTGTTGGGCTGGCAACGTCGGCGTGATTTGCCGCAGGCAGCTGGAGACAACAAACTGCGATCGCAAGCCAGCCCGTGATGGGGATAGTTTGCGGTTGTGTTGGGCGCTCTGGGTGAGCTTTGGGCGACCGCGTCGCCTTTTCAGACTGGCCCGAATTAAAACGGATGAGGCCCTCCCTCACGCCAGCACGCGAGCGCAGGAGCAACGAGGGGCAGAGGTGATAAAACACCGCCTGACTGCGCAAGTCCACTTCCAGGAACCCGCGCCAGACGCGAAAGAAGCTGGGACCGGACAATTGTTGTCGGCGGGGCCCGCCGGCTACACGGCTCTACCAGCCCCAAGACGGCCCCCAGGAGGCCCACAGCACAGAACCAGGAGGCCCCCGAGAGGGCGACCAAAAAAGGCCCAAGCGAGGTCGAGATGGCCCTGGAGGCTCCCCCCCCAAATACACCTCCAAGAGGCCTCAAAAACCCTCAAGAGGCCCCCAAGAGGCCTCGAGGGGGCCCCCAAGAGGCCTCGCGGAGGCACTCAAGAGGCCCCCAGGAGACCCCACCCTCGGGGGGGGGGGGAGATAGAAGGGGGGAGAGGGATGAGGAGAAGGTGCGGAAGGCAGATCAGGGAGGACAGAAGTGAGAGTGAGGAGGGGGGAGAAGCAGTCCACGGCATGACTCAGACAAAGAGCAGCAACTCCGCGACGAGCCACGCGACGGCAACGACCGTCGCCACGAGCCCCAGAAAGTGCTCCACGGACTCCACGGCCATCATGGCAATCGTGTACAGGCCGAGCACGCCCATGAGCTCTGCAGCTGGGCTCGGGGCAGCCCAGCAGCGCACCGGCGCGGCAAGAGGCGGCCAGCGGGCCAGCACAAGGAGGCAGCGCCAGGGCCACCGCGGGGACGCCAGATCGACCCGCCGCAGGAGGCCGGAAGGCCCGACGACGACGCGGCGCCGCCCACGCCACCGCCGCAGCCACGCGCGAGGGGCCGCAGGCCCACGCCCCGCGTTGCAGGCCTCTGGCCCACACCCTGGGCACGGTTGCGGGCCGGGCCGACGGCCACCTGACCTGGAGCGGCAGAGCGCTTTGCAGCAGCGCTGGCGCCTGCTGCGCCTGTGTGGGCACTTACAAATACTTGTGCCCATCCTTCTCCTTCTGGCACTTTGCGTCCTTCTCCTCCACTCACTATTCGGTTCCTCCTCCTGCTCCTCCTCCTCCTGCTCCTCCTCCTCCCCGCCGATGTCCTCCTCCTCCTCCTCCTCCTCCTCCGCCTCCTCCTCCTCCTCCTCCTCCTCCTCCTCCTCCTCCTCCTCCTCCTCCTCCTCCGCATCATAATCAGAATCACGAATTCTGGTCACCATCCGCAACCACCATCGCCATATAATCATCACCACCGCAACCGTCAACAGCATCACCACCATGAGCATCAGCATCAGAATCAGCACCAACACCAGCATCAGCATGAGCATCGTAAACACCATCGTCACCATCACCAACATTAGCATCATCATTCATCAGCATCAGCATCATCGCCATCATCATCGTCCCCATCATCATCATCATCATCATCATCATCATCATCATCATCATCATCATCATCATCATCATCATCATCATCATCACCATCACCATCACCATCACCATCACCATCACCATCACCACCATATCTGAATCATCATCCTCATCATCAGCATCATCATCAGCATCCTCATCACATCATCAGCATCACCACCACCATCAGTATCATCATCATCGTCATCAGCAGCAGCAGCAGTTGCATCATCATCAGCATCAGCATGAGCATCAACATCATCTTCATCGTCAGCATCATCACCATCACCAGCATCCTCATACTTATCGATCGGAAGAGGGAGGTGGGGGGGAGGGTCGGCCCTAGCTGCAATATTTGACTCATCATCACTACCATGATCACCATCATCAGCAGCATCAACATCACCATACAATCACCATGACCATCATCGCTGTCAGCTTCATCGTGGCCACTACCATCATCATAAAAAAAACATCACCATCCCCATCATTATCATTCACCTCGTCATCTTCCTGCTGGACGCCCTAAATTAATAATATGGAGCAAACCGGAACGACGCCCAACAGCACATGCGGTCCAAAACCGACAGCGCCCGCTGTTGGGCAGGCGGCCCTTCTGTTTCACATGGACAAGGCCCGCGGCGGCGCAAGACAGCGGGTCCTTTTTCAAAATGGGCAGGATATGCTGACGGTCTGCGCATCCATTCTTTCCGTACCCGTTTCGATCGTGCCGGATCCTGCCAGGCGGCGCGCTCGGGGGAAGTGAGAAGGGGCGGTCCTCCTCAGAAGGTTCGGAAGTCCCCGGGCCTTCGGAATTGTTTCCCGAGCCTTCCCCGAAGACGCAGAAGACTTACGGCGCGAGGGCTTCTGAGAAGTCCCACAGCTGTCTGAGAAGGCGTTCTCCTCCTCACTTCGCCCCTTCGCTCGCCGCCGAATCGGTTTGGGGGTCATAACTCGGGTCTCCGGCGGCCGTTCGGGACGATCTGGGCACCCCCGGAACGCTCTCGGCGAGGCGCAGCTGCTGACAAGCATCCCGAGGCTGGAAAACCGCCGAGCACCGACGAAAACGCCCAAAACCCCGAGGCCTTCTCCTTCTCCTTCTCCTTCTCGTGTTCCCCAGGCCGAGGCCGAGGCCGAGGACGAAGACCTCGAGCCCGAGGCCTTCTCCTTCTCGTGTTCCCCCCTTCGCTCGCCGCCGACCTGCCCGCTGGTCCAGGCGACGGCCGCGACGCGGCGCGCGAGAGAGCGCGCTCGCGTGGGGGGGGGCCCGCGCCCGCGGGTCCGGGCCAGCGTACTCACGCAGGGCGAGCAGGGTGGCGGCGCCGACCTTCGCTCGGCGGCGCGCCTCCGCCTTCCCCCTCGTCCTCCTCCTCCTCCTCCTCCTCCTCCTCCTCCTCCTCCTCCTCCTCCTCGTCCTCCTCCTCCTGCTCCTCCTCCTCCTCCTCTTCCTCCTCCTCCTCCTCCTCCTCCTCCTCCTCCTCCTCCTGCTCCTCCTCCTTCTCCTCCTCCTCTCCGCCTCCTCCTTCCTCCTCCACCTTCCCCTCTCCCTTCTCCGACTCCCTATACCCGTTCTCCTCCTCCGCCCCCTCCTCCGTTCCTCCTCCTCTTCTTCTCCTCCTCCTCCTCCTTCTCCTCTTCTTCCTCCTCCTCCTCCGCCTCCTCCTGTTCCACCTTCTTCTCCTTCTCCTCCTCCTCCTCCTCCCTCCTCCTCCTCCTCCTCCTCCTCCCTCCTCTCTCCTCCCTCCTCCTCCTCCTTCTCCTCCTCTCCTCCTCCTCCCCCTCCTCCCTCCTCACATTCCCCTCTCCCTCCCCCTCCTCCTCCCCCTTCCGCTACCCCGCCCCATCTCTCTCCCCATTCCCCTCCCCCTCCTCCTCTCCCTCCCCCCTCGAGACTGATCTCTTTGTCTTATTGTTTCGGGCAGCGGTCGTTACCCAGAGGGGGGGGAGTGGGACCCCGGGATAGGGTGACGCTTGGGCGGGGTGGGGCGCGTCAGGGCGGGGGTGCGCTGCGATCGCCAAAGTCTGCGCGCGCGAGCACCAGCAGTTGGCCCAAGCCCCCCCCCACATACGATCGTTGCTGTTACCCCGAGGGGGGGGGATGCGGTTTGGTTACCCGTGGGGGAAGGGATGGGGTTTGGCCCAGGTGCCGACCGTTGAACGCCGAAGGATAAGCAACAATCCCCTCCGCGATTCTCAACCGTGCCTCCTTCTTCCTGCCACGGCTCATCCTCTCCAGTGCCTCCCCTCAACCTCTGCCCCTCCCAGAATTGGGGCTCTCGCCTTCTCGCCGCGCGCATGCGTGCAATGCTCCCAGCTGATACAAGGATGGAGGGCGGGCGGTGGGCGGTTCAGGAAATGTGGCTCCCGGCTCGGCGCCGCGCACATTCGCGGTAAACGCTTCCGACAGTCACAAGGATGGAGGGTCGAGGGCCCTCGCGTAAGATGCCTGCAAGCTGCGCGACAACTCTTGCAAGATTGTGCAACAGCTACAAGGATGCACGCTGGATGCACGTCCGAGTTTCATCGCCATCAGTGTCGAGTGGTGCAGCAGTTGCTCGGATGGAAGGCAGCAACTCCATTCCGAAACGGGCCGATCGGTGGACGGTTCCATGGACTCTGTGGTCCTCCAACTTCGCATTTCTTATGACTGACTAGGCGGGACTCTCGCCTGAATGACAGGACCGTGGGACATTCGTAGTTCAAGGGGGGAGCACCGTAGAATGCATGCATGAAATATGGGCGTATGGAACGTGCGCTTGGAAAGGAAGGGTGTATTGCAGCATCGTTAGCTCATCATGGGTGTCCTGTGGTCCACCTCCTCCTCCTCCTGCTCCCCTCTCCTTTCTTTCATTTCCTCCTACCCCTCGTCCATGGTGCGCGTATACGGGGGCTAACACGAGGCAAGGAACAAAGCTGCCAATGATGTAACCCTCCGTTTATCTGGGGGGGGACTCTCTCCACCCTGAAGGCATTCCCATTTACGAACTGATACTGTGCGACAGGCCAGGGACCAGGGCAAGGGGAAGCGCTGAAGCACGGCAACGTCCAATGATCGACCTAGGTCACCACCCCGAGATGGTGTTTAGCCGATTCCCACGATTGCATGACGGCTATCGTCAAGATGTTCGCTGGCTCATCCGTTGACGCCACATGGCATCTAACAAGATCTCATAGATTGTTCGCCCATGGAAAGGCCCATCAGTGCTCGTCTTAGCCGAAGTGGCATCCCAATCTGTTGTGCAAGCTCCATGCGGCTGACAGTGTCCTTGCAAAACCGGGTGCAGAAACGAGTAGTTCGCAGCACCCTGCCACCTAATAAACTGCAAGAGCGAACTCGCCTGTTCATCGATTGATCTAGATTTGAGGAGGTCCATCTCTCCAGATGCACCAAAACCAACATGCAAAGAATATGACTGGCTCGGATTTACGAGCCTCATGGCACGAAGCTCTTGCCAATTTGGGCAAATACTTCCGTTCGCCGCTTGAAACACACCAAACTCGCCAATGGAAACTAAGTCAAACGAAGGAAACACGTCAACCTCCTCGTTCACGGCAAGTCTCTCCCAACCATGCGAGCGCAATTGCTGCAACACTGATGTCACCACCGATGTATTCTCTGCCCTGTTGAAATCTCCCCAGTGGTCAAGTCCAAGCGAAACAAACGGCACTTTGAGGGGCAAATTCCGCAATGCAAGACTCGTTTCAAACAAGGTGCCGGCCTGGAATTCGTGCAACGACACGCTGGCTGTAATCACCCCACCTTCCTGCAGCAGCCCTTGAGCGCGATCCAAAAATTCAGATACTGTCATTGGTGGGCTTCCTGCTGAAACTGGTCCGCCACCGTGCCTTCGACATGGTGGGGCGTGTTGGAAATACCTGGTGGCTATTTCTGATGAGACTGGCTCCTGAGAGGCACAATTAAGAACAAACATGGGCGTCGATCCCGATGCCTCTTCGGCGTACGATCGCCTCGGGAGACATCTGAGAAGCTCAATGGAGCTCCGAAGATGACACACGACGGCCCCAGGAGGGCCCCGAGGCGGCAAGATAACCCAGGACGGCCCAGTACCGCCCCAAAGAGGGACCCAACGATGGCCCCAAATGACACCCCCGCCCGATGGCGGCACCCGCGGGAAATCCCCGCCAGGCGAGATGCCAGGACGGGGCGGCCAGGACCGGAATGGGCGTGCGCGGAGTGAGGGGTGAGAAGCAGGGCAGGAGGAGGAGGAGGAGGAGGAGGAGGACCAGTATAAACCAAAGAGTCGAGTCATCAACGATGTTGGAATAAGCCCTCCCTCCAAGCTCCCTCTTCATAGGCCCCTCCAACGGTTCATTTCCATTGAGGGAACTGCCTCTTTGGAAGACAACCGGTTGAAGACCCTGACGCATGCCAAAACATTGTTCTCGGGAGTCTAACGCCACGGATCAACCTGCCTGTTGCGTCTTGACAACCCTGGATCATGCCAGAACGCCATTCCTGGAGCTACAACACAGCAAATCAACATAACTGTTGCACCCGCATAACCTTGAATATCTCCAAAACATCATGTCTGGCACGTTGAGGATGGAATCCATAGAAACATCTTGCAAAATTCCAAAACGAATGCGCGCCTCGCTAAAGCGAGAACCGCATGTTGAAAAAGGACCGCCCTCTATCCGTGAAGCCCTTGCAAACGTTTAGAAAGAATGCGCGCCGCATTGAAGCGAGAACCTCATTTTGAAAACCACCCGCCCTCCCGCCGTGCACCCCTTGCAAATTCGTAAATAAAACGCACGCGACGCTAACGCGCACTTTGAAAACCACCCGCCCTCAATCCGTGAAACTCTTGCAAATGTGTTAAACCAATGTGCGCCGCACGAAGGCGAGAACTATATTTTGAAAACGACCCGCCCTCAATCCGTGAAACTCTTGCAAATGTTCAAAACGAATGTGCGCCGCGCAAAGGCGAGAACCAAATTTTGAAAACCACACGCCCACAATCCGTGCAGCTCTTGCGAATATTTAAAGGTCGCCGCGCTCAGGCGAGAACCACATCTTGAAAACCACCCGCCCTCAATCCGTGACACTTTGCATTTAAAACAGAATATGCGCCGCGCTAATTTACTGCGATAGCCACAATTTGAAAACGACCCGCCCTCCATCTGTGAAGCTGACGCCAATGTTTAAGCTTCAGAGTCATTCATGGTGAGGACGTCTCATGCGAAACGCCCAGCCCAGCCTGCAATCTAGCCTCGGGGTGCGACAGGGAGAAATTGGTCATTAACAAGGAAAACGATTGGAGGAGGAGGAGGAGGAGGAGGAGGAGGAGGAGGAGGGGAAGGAGGAGGAGGGGAAGGAGGAGGAGGAGGGAGAGGAGGAGGAGGAGGAGGGGAAGGAGGAGGAGGACAACGAGGAGGAGGAGGAGGAGGAGGAGGAAGAGGAGGAGGAGGAGGGGAAGGAGGAAGAGGAGGAGGAGGAGGAGGAGGAGGAGGAGGAGCGCGCGCCGCACCCCGACATCTCCCCCCCCGGGGCGCGGCACCCCTTCGGCAGGCCGGCCCCGCCCCCGTGGCGGCTGCCACCCGCGACGGCCCCACGACCCGCCCGGGGCCGAAACGCGTCGGCGTCGTCGTCGTCGTCGTCGTCGTCGTCGTCGTCGTCGTCGTCGTCGGCGGCGTCGGCGTCGGCGTCGGCGTCGTCGTCGTCGTCGTCGTTGTCGTCGTCGTCGTCGTCGTCGTCGTCGTCGTCGGCGGCGTCGGCGTCGGCGTCGGCGTCGGCGTCGGCGTCGTCGTCGTCGTCGTCGCCGTCGTCGTCGTCGTCGTCGTCGTCGTCGTCCCAGCGCCGAGGTCCTCCGGGAGGGGTCGGCAGACGCGTCGCGCCCCAGGGCGGCCCTCCGAGGCCTCCCCCCAGCGGGCCCTCCGTGGAGACAGGAGCAGGGGCACGGACACGAGCTGTGTGTGGCGTGCCGCGCGGCTTTCTCGGATCTGCGCTGGGCCCCCCTCCCTGGCGCGCGGAGCGCGGCAGGGGCGGCGCCGGAGGCGCCGCCGGGGGGACCCACCGCGGATCCAAGAAATGCGCGCGGAGCGCCACGAGTTTTTGTGTACGTCGTTTCTTCTTCTCGACTCAAGAAACCACAACAAGTTCCGAAAGAAGCCTCCCCCCCCCCCGAACATGCAATGCAACGGCCAGTCAACGTGAAGGCTGCGTCACGCGACGTCCCCGTGGAGCCCCTTCCCAGGGAGCCCCGCAGACCTCGGCGAGACCATCATGTGTGTATTTCAGCGCTGCCCTGGCGCGGGGGCGGAGCCTGCCATAGGCAGGTGGGTACCTCTTGACCAGAATCAACTCTC